CCACATATCCCCTCTGCAAAGCAGCCGGCTGCAAAGGCTGGAGTTTGCAGCGTGCGTGCAGTGAAAGCACGATTAAAATGTCCTTGCTGTTGTACAGTTTCTGCTTCCTCTCCAGGCCTGGGAAAACTACCTAAAGCCGTCCAGGAACAGTTCAATATTGCGCACAGGCTGGTGGTAATTAAACACAAGCCAGCTGCCACGCTGGGCAGGATCCCACTTATTTATTCAGCTGATTCCAGTAAGACCCTTTCAGGCAGCGCGTACAGTATTAGGCTTCAGGGCAGCTATTTGCTCAACTATTAGGAGGCAGTCGAGTGTGTAAAGGTTTAACCTCGATGAAACGGAGCGGAGGCGCGACCCTCAGTCGCCGTGCGCCGGGCAGAACGCGGCCCTTGGGAGCTGTAGTCGGCCTCGGTAAACACTATGATGAAGTCCAAGATTCGTAGCGATCAGCACCGAACAAGAGAGACGCACCATCTACAAACACACACACACACACACACGTTTAAATGTGCCAACATAAGCAGAGATTAAAGCAGACTGACTGACAGTCTCTGATTTAGTCCTGATTCTGAAACGCAGAAGATCAGTCGGAAACATTCGGAGCAGGGAGGATCTGTTCCTGCCTGCAGCATCCGCAGAGAAGCAGTTTGCTTATTTATGTTTCACATGAGACTAAATGTGTTTGATGGGCCCTTTGGCCATTTGATAGACTTCACTTAATGTCTGTGGAGGACAGAAACTGCCAATGTATCGGATCAAAAAGTGCATATTTAAAAAAAATAAAAATAAACATATGATGTAAATGAATTAAAAAGAAATGTAAATTTGAATTCAATTGTAAAGGTAAACTAATTATATAAACAGCAGCATAAATGAACCCTGAAAATAAATATCAAATAAAATAATTGGATGATTATTACAAAGATAAATTAATATAAGGAGAAAAAAGTGTCACACTGTATTAACTAATAAATAATATTCATTTTGACTATTAGTTGAGTATTTAACGGCAAAATATGTCAAATAATTTTTTTAATGACTCAATAAACGAGTCATTTAAATAATTTACTTAATCACTTTTGATCTTTTTGGTCCCCGTATTATAAGTTCTAGTTGTCTTTTATTCTGTGTTTTCTCTTATTAACCATTTATTTTTGAACTCAGTCCAAGAATACAGCAGGTGTTTCCTACTTTCTGTAAGTCACGCTGTAGGTTTGAGGAGATCTTGTGTTTTTGAGTGAACCGTCCTTTGTGACGTCCCTCTGAGTCGGAATTAGAAGTCAAATCTCCCCGTCAGGCTGTTTTTATCTCGGAGTGTCGTTCAGCTGCCCCGGCCTCAGAGATCTGGATCTCGCCGCTGGTTCGCTGAGCCGACCGATTAACTGTTAAGCCGTGCTTAAACGCTGCTCATCTCCCTAATTAGGTGGTAATTATTGTCTCGAGGGTTGGCCGACGTTTGCACAGTAGAGGCTGTGTGCTAATTGAACTTTTTTCCAAGTGCCACCATGTCCGTCTCTTTCTTTTCTTAAAACCCCCCAAAACAAAACACATTTTTCCTGCAAAAGTGAAGCTTAACTACAGCTCTCTGTTAGAACCTCAGCCCCGGTTGGAGCGTGCTGAGCTGCCACAGAGTATTTCTCCTGCGTAACGACTAGATGCACAGTAACCCTTTGTAATTTCTTTAACTCGGTGAGCTGCAGCCTGACCGGATCTGGTTTTTAGCGATGCTGCAGCTTGTAAAACGTCATGGATGTGAGTCAGAGTCGGCCTTGAGCAATCTGCTTTGTGTCCGCTGGCCAGCTTGGAGCTGAGCTCTCTTTGACTGACAGTAAAGCGAGGCCAGCAGCAACAGCACCATCAATCAATAAGTGCCGATGTGTGGAGCGTGCGTGGCTTTAAATGCATAGGAACCTTTTATAGCAGGCCTCACTGATTAATGTTGCTCGATAGTATCCCATTAACGTTGTTATATTGGAGGTCAGGAAGTTCATGGGTTGATATTCATCACGCACATGGGGGATGCTTCAGAAACAGTGGTAGTAAACAAAAACCTTAATTAGTGCCATGCTGTTCCTGTAGTAACATATACATGTAGCAGCAGTGGATGGATCACAGTGAACCGGCCCTGTGCCAGTGCTTGTTCTAAAAAAAATGTACAAAAAACATACAAAAACTTAAGCAGCATTTGGGTGTGAGTCATATGACAAGCTTTTCCTTTCATTATACCTTATCTGTGTATGAGGTACAACTTTGACCACAGGCATCAACACTTGGATCGTGAACTAAAAGTAAACTCTGTTATCCTGATTCTTTTTTGGTCTTGTTACAGCTTTGAGGGCGCGCTCAGATCGAGCAGGTTCGAGATAAAGCTAGAGAAGCGCAGGAAGGATGGGAAGGACGCTGAAGCTGGAGGAAAAGAGGGAGACAAGGAGGAGGTTCATGGATGTAGTGAAGGAGGACATGCAGAGGGTTGGTGTGACAGAGGATGGTAGGGATAGAGGGAGATGGATGGAGATGATCCACTGTGCAAACGCGTAAAACTAGCAGAGGAAAGAAGATCGTAAAAGCTTTTTATAGATTAGCATGCTTTAACCAGGCGGTTACCACCACACCTTCCTGTAGCTAATCAGCATAAGCAACACGAGCAGCACTGATAAGTCTACGATTACAAATGCAGGTTGCAGAAGCTTTTAGTCAGTGTTTTTTGACGAGCTGCTGTTACCATATTCCTCCTCGTGATGTTTTCAGAGCATCGGTCTGCACTTTGTAGTGATTTATTTCTAAAATACAAGTTATCCACTTTGGAAATGTTAAAAAAAGACAAAAAACCCAACAACAAAACAAAACAAAGCAAACAAACAAAAATAAAAACCCAAACCCATTGTGTATTGTTAAAAATTCCTTCCGCACAGTCTCGTTTTGGTCTGTGCGACACAAAGTTTAGTAACCCAGAGCCTCGCTGACCAATAAAGTCCGAGGCGGATGCCAGCTTGGTGGGTTTCTTGCAGCTTTCTTGCGTGTCCCGTCGGAACGGCGAACCTTAAATGCGTCACCGATAATTTCAGGCAGCCATGCATGTACGTCTGTGCGCTCTCCTGTCTAACCGAGACCACATGTGAAACTAGCTCCGGGCGGATGCTGGTGTT